CTTGAACACGTGGAACTCCTTGCCCTGCCATTGCAGGGACACTCTCAGGATGGCGTAGTGCTCGTAGTCTGTGTCCAGCACGTGGATCTCCCTGTGACCTGCAGGGCTCAGCAGGGTTGGGCAGCCTGAGGGGGTGACCTAGGAAGCCAGGCCTGCAGGGCCTAACTTCATCCTGTTCCTGACCAGCCTGGGACCCTCCCGTGATGCCCTGGGAGGCGGAAGCAGGCCCTGCAGGGTGACCCAGGGTGCTTGAGGGGAAAGAGGGCCTGCGCCCAAGGAGCCTGGGAACAGGCCCACGGAGCAGCAAGGCCAGGAGTTGCTGGGCGTGGGCAGGAAGCTGCGACCCCCGGGCAGGGCAGGGCACTTACCAGGGAAGGCAAACTTCCCCACAGCGGCGTCTCTTCCTGAGCCCACCACTTTCTCTGTGGTGCAGCTTCCCGAGCTGGAAGGCAGCATGCGCCCCTCAGCCCCAGCCGCCTGCGCAGCCTCCTCCCCCAACAGCGCTCCTGGGGGGGAGGGAGGGCCCCGCCCCGGCCCCCAGCGGGACGTGCTGCAGGAAGGGCTCCTGCAGGGTCCCCGGTCCTGAGCCCTCCAGCCGCGCCCACCTCTAAGCCCACTTTCTTTTCTTATAACCTGGTGGGGCTTCATCAAACCCCATACTTATATTTGGGGAAAATGCCGATCTAGGAGTCTGGGGGTCAGCTTTCTCCGGAGCTAGAGTCCCGGCAGGGGCACAGGGAGGGAGGGCAGGCACACCCTGTGAGGGTCCTGCAGCCACCAGCCACACGCCCCACGCCGTCCCCTCGGCAGGGTGCCCTGGCCACGCCTGGGCAGGGTCCCAGGCTCTCACTTGTTATACGCAGCCTTCACGGTCATGTGGTCATGTTCCGGCCACTCAAGGTGATGAACAAGCCCTCCACCTTCATCCCGGCATCCAGGGCCATATTGAACTCGGAGGCCAAACCAACTTCCCGCCAGAACCCTGAAATCTGGAGAGAAGAGCTGCAGCCGCCCTGGCTCTGAGAGGCCCAGCTGAGACTCCATCCCTGGACTCCAGGGTGCATTTCAGAGGCCACAGGCACAGAGCTGGTGGCCAGAGACCTCAGAGGCAAAACAGCAAGATGTCTCAGACCTGCTTGTCCCCACTAGAGTCATCCTTCTCAGAGGTCCCTTCAGACCATCAGGCGGTGATGCCCCTCCCACCTGGCCTTCTGGAGCAGCCGCAGGGCCAGCTTGAGGTGCCCCAAGAGAGCTGGCCTCTGCTGCCTCCAGGCCTGGCGTGTGGGGACATGAGCAGGCCCTGGCTGCCCGCAGGGACTGGAGAGCAGAAGAGCATGTAGAACGCAGGCCCAAGTGACTGGGCCTCTCACCAGGCTGGCCCAGCAGAAGAGACCCAGCCCTGCCCCCTCGCTGCGAGAGGGCCTCCCTGCCACCAACACGCACCCAGAGCCCGAGGTGCCATCTGAAACTCGGAAAACGGCTGATGTTACAGCAGTAAATGACTTGTCTCCCTGACGTCTGTCCTTCTGAACATCCCCGCGTGTCTGGCCTGTAGGAGGAGGACCAGGACAGAAGCCCACAAGCTGCCCACCCAGGAGAGGGCCTCCTCTGGCCCCACCGCCACAGTGCAGAGGGCAGGGGTATAGAGGGAACCCTGTCAACCTGGGGGGCAGTCGGGGGCCACCTGGGACCCCAACCCTGAAAAACCTTGAGGACCAGCCAGCCTGGCTGAGGATGGCAGGCACCTGCTGTCACAGGGGGCCCTCCAGAGGCCTCCGGAGAGGAAAGGCTGCAGAGCTCAGAGCCCCCACCAGGGCCCTTAGCTGTCTGCCCTCCTGGGACACTGACCTAGGCAGGTCCTGGGGGCCCTCAGGCAGCTGTGCCAGCACCAACTGGGAGTGAGGGGCCTGCGGTGCCTGAACACTCTCCGGCCCCTCCTTGCCCAGCTCCCCACTATCCCCTGCTATCTGCCTGCAAGCCAGGAAGGAAAAGGCACCTTCTGCAGGTCTAGGTCCACCAAGGTGGACGCCACCCGCATCCACACCAGGAGCACGCTCAGGGTGGTGCCTGGCCGCCTGGCCGCCATCACAGGCTCCGTCTGGGTGCCTCTCTCCCACAGGGCCTGGGCTTATATTTGGAGAGTGGGCAAGAGTGCGCAGCCACCTGGAGGACGTCATGGGCAAGTGTGGCTGCCAGCTGTCCCAGACTCCTGGCGGTCAGCACAGTGCCACCTGGTCCCACTGACGCCCACACCAGGGAGGGGTTGGCCAACAGCCAGCCTTGCCTGCCACCTTCCTGCCAGGACGTTGGTGGGGGGGGGGTTCTGAGGGCCTGACAGGAGGAGCAGGCCCCACCCACACCCAGGGGGCTCAGCCCACCCACCTCTGGGGACGCTGGGGTTTGTGGGTCTGGGGATAACAGAAGAAGCATGAAGGCCTAGGCCCTGGCTCAGTCCAGCCTATGGCCTTCTGCAGCCAGTGGGTGAAACGCGAGGGTCCAGCCAGCCCGGCCCCAGGCATCAGCTCTTCCCCACCATGCCCGTGCCCCACGTCCCCACGCTCACCAATAACATACCTGTGCCAGACCAGGATGAGCAGACAGAAATGCAGGGCACCACACCGTGCCCCTTTAACCTGGGCAGGGGCAATGGACTCTCAGGGGAGAGGACTGGTGCCTCTGGACACTGACCCCTGGTCCCTGCCTCCTGCAACAGAAATCAGAGAGCGGGTTCGCCTCCATTTCCCGCTGTCAGGGACAGCTTCCAAGGCTGCCACGCAGAGCATTAACCGCACGAGAGGTGACACTCTCCTCCAGTGACGCCCTGCACCCCTGCACCCCTACCCTGGCCCTCTGCCTCCTCCTGACTGTGTCCAGCAAACCACCATCTAAGTCCTTGCATTTACCAGGAAAGAGTCTCTCAGGCCAGAGATTTTTTTAAGGCAACTTTTATTTTCAAAACAACTTTATTTGCGACACATATTTATAAAGAAAAACCCCCTCACCCTCTGGAAAGAAATTAAAAAATAACAAAAGCCTCCTTCTACCTTTGGATTCCCACCTCTCCTGCTCCCTCCCAATGAAAGGGGAGGCGAGACCAAGGTGGCCAAGGAGCACCCTGGCCATGCAGCCCTTCCCCCAGTGAGCCTGGGGAGGTGACAGACTCCGGGGCCAGGGCTCCAGCTCCCAGAGCCCCTCTCAGCAGAGGGCAGAGGGGCCTGAAAAGCTCAGCTCAAGAGGAGTCCTGGCCACTGAGACACACTCAGCAGGGGACCTGGCTGCTGTGGATACTGGCAGGTGCAGGGGAACAAGTTAGGACAGGGTGAGCAGAGCTGGCTAGCTCACTGGAGCCCAAGAGGGGCACCCAAAGAGCGGGGATTGCAGCGGGGAGGCTGAAGATGGCTGACCCAGCCACAGGCTGGCTGGCCAGGGCTCCCAGGGTGGCTGCAGAGGGGCCGGGCAGGGCTGCCCCATTCTCCCTGTGAGTGCTGCCTTGGCCAGGACGGACAGGGAGGGCGGCCCCGAGGTGGAGCCCCTGGCCCTCTGGGTGAGCAGGAGCAGGATGGGGCTGATTCCCCCGGGGCTGATTGCTTCCGCTCCCGCTATTTGAGTGCCACAGGCAATGGTGAGCAGAACCTTCAGCTCCTTCCTGCTCCCCACGCTCAGGCCTTGAACTAGGCAGGGGTGCGGCAAGGACAATGGCAGTGATGGACCCTGGGAAGGGCATCCCCTGTACCCCACCTCTCGTCAAAGGCAATGCGGAGGGCATGTCCTGCAGCTCCACCCCATGGATTTGAACCCTAACCTGGCCACTTGTCAGCTGTGTGACCTTGGATACCTTGCCCAGCCTCTCTGTGTGTGCCTGGATGTCTTCATCTGAGAAACAAGGATGGAATGGGGTGGGTACATGTGTCCCGGGGGCCTGTTATGGAGCAAGCAGGCCAGCTAGCCAGCTGAGATCCAGGAGTGTGCTGTTGTGTTGCTCATGGCACTGACCCATTTCTGGGGCTCTCAGAGGGTTAGGCCAGGTGCCCCCGATCACGACAGTGAGCAGTGAAACCCAAGCAAGCCCAACTTCACGGTCTGCCGCCACGCCCACCCAGCACAGCCCATGGCCAGGGCCTGTGGTCACAGGGTGCCTGACCATCCCGTAGGCCCATGAACCGCAGGGCCGGGCAGAGGTGCCCCATTCTCCCTGTGAGTGCTGCCTTCCCACCTCCTCCCCGCCTTGGGCTGCCAGCAGAGCAGGGCTGGAGATGGGCCTCCTGTGCCCTCCCCAGGATTCTCCAAAGAGTGAGGAGCCAAGAGGCTGCAGGATCTGTTTATTGGGTGGGAAGAGGCCCCAGATCAGGGGAGGCAGGGAGGGAGGATGAGGGACAGCTCTGGGTGGCCCGAGGGCGGTGGGCTCACTCCACGTCCATACCTGGGGAGGTGAGGTTTGCTGCTGTGGACTCCCCCTGTGAGGAAAGGCACAGCTGATCCTTCTCCCCCACACAAGGGGGCACTGCCCCCCAGGCCAGCACCCACAGGGCCAGGCACAGCTGATCCTGCCCCCAGCCTTCTGCCGACACAGAAGCCCACATCCCATCACCCCTCACTGTCCTGGAGGCCGCAGGCTAGAGGTCCCCCCGGGCACCACCGCTGCCTCCCAGTGCCAGGGGCTGGCCCTGGACGAAGGGGCCAAGGAGACAAGAAGGCCTGAGTCCCCACCCCATGTGTTCCCAAAGCCACCAGACAGTAACAGGTGACTCTGTGTTCAAGATGTCCAGACCCAGAGACAACTAAAGCCCCAACGTCCCCAGGAGAGAAGCCACGAGCCCACTTGGAGCTCACCAGAGAAGAGTCAAGACATAGGAAATGGTGACAGCAGATGAGGACAAAATCAGGCTGTGGAGCTGGAAAACGCCCTCCGTGTACCCCCCACTCCAAGCCCCCCACGCAAGACAGCCCCAGGTCCCCACCTGCTGCCCAACGCTATCACATCCCACCCATTACTTATGGCTTTAGGTGGGTGCCCAATCCTTCAGGAGCTTGAGCAAGGTGTGGCCATTTTCTGGCACCTGGTCTGAGGAGGCCTCCCCAAACCCCTCCTGCATCAGAGCCCCAGGTTCCCGGGACCCAGCCCTGCAGTGGGCAGGGAACGAGAGGTGTCAGGTCTGCCCTCAGAGACAGGACAAAGACTCAGGCCATCCCAGGGGAGGATGCAGGGAGCCCAGGGACTGTGGTGGGTAAGCAGTGTCCCCCAAAACTCCACCGCCTCCTGGAACCTCCACAAGGGCCCTTATCTGGGAACAGGTCTTTGAAGAAAGCATTAGTTAAGGATCTGGAGATCATCCTGAAGATAGGGTGGGCCCTAAATCCAACAATGTCCTCATAAGAAGGGGGCAGCCAGGTGCAGTGGCTCAAGCCTGTAATCCCAGCAGCTCAGGAGGCTGAGGCAAGAGGATCACAAATTCAAGGCCAGCCTCAGCAACTTAGTAAGGTCCTATGCAACTTAAAAATATCCTGTCTCGGTGCTGGGGATGTGGCTCAAGCGGTAGCGCGCTCGCCTGGCATGCGTGCGGCCCGGGTTCGATCCTCAGCACCACATACAAACAAAGATGTTGTGTCCGCTGATAACTAAAAAATAAATATTAAAATTCTCTCTCTCTCTCTCTCTCTCTCTCTCTCTCTCTCTCTCTCTCTCTCTCTTTAAAATAAAAAGTAATATTTCAAAAAAAAATATCCTGTCTCAAAATAAAAAGGGCCAGGGAGTGATTCAGGGATTAAGTGCCCCTGGATTCAAATCCCAGTGTTGGAGGGGGAAAAAAAAAGGGAGTAGAAGCAAGTCGAAGAGGAAGAAGAAGGAAGAGGAGAAGGAAATCTCAACCAGCAATGCCCAGGATTACAGGAGCCACAGGGAGGGGTAGCAGGTGGGCAGGCTCCCCTCAAGCCTCCAGAGGGCCCACCCCATGGACACCTTGACCCTGGCCTCCAGGACTGGAGCTTGTCCTGTTTAAGCCGCCACGTGGGTGCTGTCTCGGCAGCCCCCGCAGTCAGGACAGGCTCCCTGAGGGGACCCTGAGTCCCTGAGGCCCGGGACTCCCCAGGCAGAAGTGGGTGAGGATCTACACAGCAGGTCTCAGGGGTGAGAGGAAGCGAGGACCAGGGGCAGCCGGTGGAGGGCCTGGAGAACTCACCCTGTCCCCTGCCTGGGCAGGGCTGGGATGGGACTCCGGGGTTGCCAAGGTGCTCCCCTGAGGTGGGGAGCAAGCATCTGCAGGAGCAAGCAGTCCAAGAGGTGGAGATGGGAAGGCTGCCCTCCCTCCACATCCTACCTGGCCCCCAGCCTCCCAACAGGGGGCCAGAAGACCCTCCCTACCTCTCCTTGCACCTGTTGGGGGAAGAAGGGGTTGTGGGGCAGAAGGGGCTGGAAGGGCTGCCACACAGCATAGCAGAGAAAACCACCTGCTGCCCACCCCAGGGCTCAGGGCTGGGCACTGGGGTGAGGCTTGGCCAGGGTACCTGACTTGGGCAGCATGACCATCATGTCATCCTGGAGCCCCACTGTGGGGTAGAAGTCCTGGAAGGCCTTCAGAGCCTGGGGGCTGGCATCCTGAGTCCGACCTGGGGCACAGAGGGGTAGCTGTGAACCCAGCAGCTCCCAGGGCCGAGGCAGGCGACACCTGCCTCACTCCACTTCTTTGAGAGCAGACAGCAAGGTTGCCACCCTAGGTGGGGCAGGGAGGCTGACCAGGGAAGGTGGGCCCTCACCTGGAGAGGGGCACATGTTGTGTCTGCCCTCGGGGACCTCTCCAGCCAGCCCCCTCCCCATCCTAAGTGCTGTTGGTCCCCCGCCCCCTGGTCATTGCCATGTCCAGGCTGTGATTAGTGGGGGGCTGAAGCAGAAGGGGTGGGCCTGGGTCAGGGTGGGTGGGGCCAGCCCTGGGCTGGCCTGAAAGGGCAGGTTGGAGGGGGCTCACTGTAGAGCTGCACCATGGTGCTGAGAGCCCCCTCCAGCTCCTTGTAGATGTAGACCACCGCAAAGGAGCCATAGTCCGTGTCCGCCACACGCACATCCAGGTAGCCCAAGGCTGTGGAGAAGGTGCACATGGCCATAGAAGCAGGGCAGGGCTGGGCGACAACTCCCCCTGACCAGCCCACCCTGCTGCCCTAAGACCCAGCAGGTATCCTGGCCAAGCCCCACCCCAGCCGTCCTGGAGGGGGCGGGGCAGGGGGCCTCAGTGCAAAGACAATCTGCATCACCCCTGGGGAGCAATCCCAGTGCCCCCAGGACATACCTGGAACTCTGAAGTGGCCCTCGGAGCCCATCTTCAGGAACGTGGCATCCACCTGGGCACAGCCGTCAGCCCTGGGTGCATAGATGGTCACTACCTGCCAGGCACCCTTGGGTCCTCCCTAGCCCAGCCCACCCCAGGCTCACCGTGGGAATTCCATGTGGACGTTGAGACAGCCCCCCTTGGTGGCATTGATGTCCTTGGTGGACATCAGCAGATGATCCTTCTTGCCCAAGAACACCTTGCAGTCAGACACCATGGAGACAACATACCAGAGGCCCGAGAACTGCAGGACAGCTCAGTGACCAGCAGGCCTGACAGCAGCAGCCATACTGCCTTGCCCAGGGAGCAGGGAGACAAATGAAAGGCCAGAGAAGCAGGGACCTGCCTGAAGGTGGACAAGAGCTCTTGCTGCCCCCTTATGAGATGGGCCTGCAAAGGCCCTCAGCCCAGGGTTGTTTCTGGATTAGAGGGAAAGTGGGTCTGAAGCATGCCCTAGGCGGACCCACAACTGGCCCCGCCGCGGCAGCTTCTATTCTCACTGGTGATGTTTCCAGGGGGATCAGCCCCCACCCAACCCAGGCACACCCAGAGGAGACCCAATACCTTTTTGGCATCGAAGTCAGGTTGAACTAGGACCTCGGCCAGAGTTGCGGACACCCAGAGCAGCAGAACCAGCCTCATCCTCAGGCCTGATCTCCAGCCCTGGCCCCCAGTCCCCAAGCCCCAGAAACCCTGGCTTTATACCCTAGCCCAGACCTGGGCTCAGGAAGGGGCAGATGGGGAGTGAGCGGAAGGCTCTATGAAATGCCAGCCCTCTTTGTCCATTGTTGGGCACAATCACTTGGCTGTCCCCTCGGCCCCAGGGTCACTTCCTGCAGGGCTCCAGACATCCAGGCTCTCGCCTGACACACCAGCTGAGGATTTGTCCCCAACCTGCCAGGCACGTCACTACCCCATGGCCCCCCATAGCTGGCCACCCAGCCATGGCAGAGCTATCATGGCTTCCAGCCTCACACCCAAGCACCTCTGTCCACCCCCAGCCTGGCTGGGAGTTTGGGGGGCTGCTGGGAAGCATGAGGCCTGGGTCTGCTGGGGCCAGCCGGCTCCCATCCAGGGTTCCGGGCACCCAGCAGACCTTTCTCCCTCTCATCCCCAACTCAGTGCCTAGTCACCACTGGCCAGGCCTCTAGAGACCTCATCCAGGGGTAGCCTTTGCCAGCACAGTGGTGAGAGACATCTGGGCCCCCCCTTGCACCCCACAGCTGGGCTTCCTGAAAGCATGCCTGAGATAGGAGGAGGGATTAGGGTGGATTACGTATCCACAGCTTCCTTATCACCAGTTTCATAAATGTCCAGGTGGAAGGACGCCTGGGAGGCGCCAGGGCTGGTGGAGGTGGAGCTGAGGAAGGCCTCTCCAGCTGACCTCTGTGTCGACACAGAGCACCAGGGACCCTGGGCCAGGAGCAGCGCATGGCCTTGGTACACCCCACTTGGATTCTCAGGTCAGAAACCAGGGCCCACTCTGGAGGCCAGGTCAGAGAAAGACCCTCAGGCAGGCGCAGCCTGAGAACTGCTGTTCTGCACACCCTGGAGTCACTAGGGCAGGCACAGCCTGAGGACAGCTGTTCTGCACACCATGGAGTCACACAGGGCAGGCACAGCCTGAGGACTGCTGTTCTACACACCATGGAGTCACCCAGGGCAGGCACAGCCTGAGGACAGCTGTTCTACACACCATGGAGTCACCCAGGGCAGGCACAGCCTGAGGACAGCTGTCCTGCACACCATGGAGTCACACAGGGCAGGCACAGCCTGAGGATAGCTGTTGTACATACCATGGAGTCATTCAGGGCAGGTGCAGCCTGAGGACAGCTGTTGTACACTCCATGGAATCACTCAGGGCAGGCTGACCCTGAGACAACTTCCAGAGCCCATGTGGGAGGGAGATATGGCCCCTGGAGCATGTAGACTGAGAGGGACCTGGCATAGGGGACCTTCCACACTCAGCCCCCCAGTCCCAGCATAGCCACATCCCCAAAGGCCCCCTCCTGGGTGGACAGGCCCCCAAGTCTGAGGGCTTGATTGTGAAAGGCAAGGAGGGGGCACCCATATAGGGGGTCCAGGGAAGTCCAGGGGCTCAGCCATGGACAGCCTCCACTGACCAGCTGTCCCAGAGGAGAGAACCTGAGGAAAAGGGCAGAGAGGAGAGGTGGAGGACAGGTGCAGGGTGAGGACGGGCTCCGCAGAGAGGAGGGGATGAATGCAGGGGCAGAAGGGAGCAGTGCTGTGCCCAGGATCCCAGGAGCCCTGCTCCCAGCTGCCTGGGAATAGCAGGGCTGGACACACCAAGGTGAAGCCCCAGGCTAACCTACAGCCAGAGGGGTGGGCCCCTTCAGGCATCCCTAAGGGGATCCACCTCAGAAGCCATGAGATCCCTCACCCCAGAATCCCTCTCCCTATTCCACCACTTCTGAAGAAGTCTGGGAGGGCTTCTCCTGACTTTACCTATAAGAGCGTAAGTGGCAGTAGCCACCCTCGCCACCCACCCTCCCTCACCGTGGGCCTGCTGGGGTGGGCCTCACCCTACAGAGAGGCCAGCCCCTCCCACGCAATGTCCCATGTCTACTTCCACTTTTTGGCTGGACACAGGGTTCACTTGACCAAGGCATGTCAGGGAGGCCTTGGGGTCAGGCAGGGATGGGGCCCAGCCACCAACCCCTCGTGCTTCAGGGTGCCCAGTTAGGGAGATGGGGCTGCAGGAAAACGGAGAGACCGGGGCTCTATTCCACCCAGTTCTGGGCCCAGTGATATGACCTGCCTTCAAGGAGCCAGTATGTAAGAACTGCCCCTTCCTACAGGAGAGCCAGGAGCTATGCCCCCACCAGCAGCCAGAGGTGAGCTGGTGATCAAGGCCATCCTAGAAGGTAGTTGGTGGGGCAGCTCAAGGTGCAGAGGGAGCCTTGAGCCCAGACAAGAGAGGGAAAGCCCTGGAGCCCCCTCTGATCCCTGTTGGGTTCCTAAGATGCGACCCTGGGAAGCCTGCAGCTTCCTGCCCAACCATGCCCAGTCCTCAGAGAGATGGAGGACTCACAGCCCAGAAAGGGAAGGGCAGGGGCTCTGGCTCTGGGGGCCAGGCTGCCATCCTATCTCTCTAGTGGGAAGTGCTGAGAGCCACAGCCGAGTCAGAATGGCCCCTGGCATTTTGCCAACAGCATTGGTTGAGAGGTGAGCCATTAAGATGCTGCTGGATTGATTCAATTGTATATTAGACCTTTACTGTCTGCCTAGGCCTGCTACTTTGGAGTTCTTGCGGGGATTCCTGGAGAGTTCGCACTGGTTGGGGAAGTGCCGGAGGAGGGATTTCCGGTTGATGTGTTCCTGGAGGAGCCGCGTGGGTGGCGTTCGGGAGAGTTCCCGGGGAGTGTGTTGCTGGTAGAGTTCAGAAATAAAGTTTGTTCCTGCTCAAGTGGCTCGTGATTTGTGCCCAGCCAGACTGCGGCAGGGAAAGATCCCAAGGAGGGTGCAGCCTCACTGAGTGAGAAGTCTCCCTGACCTGAGACTCCTACGAAGACTTGAGCATGGTTATCCTGCATTTGTGGGCTGTGGGAAGCCCTGTACAGGTGAACCCACAAAAAGAACAGCAGAAAGAACCAGAGCCCAAGGAGACCCTGAAGGGGGAACTCACCCCCACCCACCAGCCCAACCTAGGGACTCTGAGCTGTCCTGGGGAGGCCCAAAGCCCTCCTGATCAGCACCTTGACGTGTCCTGACTCTGATAGGAGCTGTCAGGTTCTGCTGGGGTCTGCAGCAGAGGGGCTGGCATCAGCCATGCCAGGGGGACTGCGGGGTGTCAGGGAGGGTAAGCATCTGTGGAAGGGGTGCTGAAGAGGGGAAAACACCTGTTGGGAAAAGTATAAACGGCAGCCATACCCCAGAGAAAAACCCCAACATGGCGCCTAAGGACTTCTTCTTCCTACCTTCTTCTTTTCTGCAGTGGCGCGAAAAGTTCCCACCCATGTGAACTCTCCCACCGGCGCCAATTTCAAATCTCGCTGGCGGGGAACCTTAGCCCCAATGAGAACTAATTCCTGGGCTCCGGAGCTGATATCTGAAAGAACTTGCCAATAAACGGGTTGCCTGCCATTTATCTAAGCCCTACCATCTCCCCCTTAGTTCTATATAAGCACACAGCTTTTTGCAATAAAATTGGAATTCTCCCGGCGAAGTGTCTTTGCGTGGGGAATTCTTTCATTCTGGTGTCCCGTGTGAGGATACGGGTGAGCTCTTTCCAACAAGAGCCCCGTCCCCCACTCCGCCGAGACACTCCGCCCTAGTCCGCTCTTTTTTTTTTTTTTTTTTTTTTTTTTTTTTTTTTTAATATTTATTTTTTAGTTTTCAGCGGACACAACATCTTTGTTTGTATGTGGTGCTGAGGATCGAACCCGGGCCGCACACATGCCTGGCGAGCGCGCTACCGCTTGAGCCACATCCCCAGCCCCCTAGTCCGCTCTTTTCAGACACCGGCTTCCTGCACTCACCACTGATCTGACGTAGGTAAGCCTCCCTTGACCCCGGCTCGCCAACTCCCTTCGGGCTAACGCTGGTTTTGTGACCGTGATCGTCCGGCACACTCCAGACGCCCGGTAGGGGGGAGGGAATCCCCCCCACTAAGACCTTTACTGGCCGCAGTGGACCCTCTGGTGATCCGTTTCCCTTTGGGGCATGAGGCTTCTGAGTTTACATGAGAGGCTCTGTGGTTTTTCCTCCTCCCGCTGCCGCTGCCGGCTAGAGTTGCTGTTTCCTGCGGGGCTGCTGTGTCTGGCTGAAGCTGCCTTTCTGCTCGGGGAAAACTGAACTCCCGGCCTGGAACTGCGTTCTGCCGGAGCCAGAGTTCTGTTTTCATTACTGACTTCTTCCGCTGCGGTCGAAAACTTTCCTGACGTCAGGTTGCCCGTGGCTCCTACTCCATTGGGTCTCACAGATCGCACTTCACTGGTGACGACTGGTAGTGCCCTCTGTATTTCCTCGTGACGGCTGGTCATTTTGGGGATGCCCACCTGACCCCTGTTCTCCCTGAGCTTCCTGGAAGCCACTCCAGCCCGGGTTTTCTCTTTGTCTCTCTCGCTTACTCTTATTCTCTCTCTCTCTCTCTCTCTCTCTCTCTCTCTCTCTCTCTCTCTCTCTTCCCTCTCTCCCTGTGACTATGGGCACCTCTTCGTCTATACCTGAAGCCTCACCTCTCAAATGTTTAATAAAAAATCTGGCCACACTCTCCCTCACACCAGACATCAAGCCCAAACTTCTAATCAAATTCTGTACCCAAGATTGGCCTACATATCCACTGGATAATGGCAATCATTGGCCTCCAGAAGGCTCCTTAGATCCAAACCTCCTCCGAGACCTTTTTAACTATTGCCAGCGTCTGAAAAAGTGGAGGGAGATTCCCTGCGTTGAAGGTTTTAGCCTTCTCGCACAGCACCCTGCTCTCTGCTCCTCCTGCCCTTCCTCTCAGGTCCTCCTTGCTTGCAAACCCCTCTCTTCCCCTACTTCTACTCCTGACTTCGCAGATTCTTCCTCATTTGACCCAGCAGATGAACCCCCACCTTATCCCCCAGCCCCATCTGCCCCTTCTCTCCCGCTATACCCTCCTCTTCCTCTGCCTGATTCCACAGATCCTCAGC